AGGTTAGGGGTTGACTGCCACTTCCCTTTGGAGCCAGTACTCCCCAGTTCACACTGATCCGGTTAGAGAAGAGGAAAGGATAAGTTACCCTGGGGTTTGCTGCCCAATTCAGAGAAGAGATTTGGTCTGCAATTATTTTACACTGGAGCTTAGTGGTTTGTTTTGTCCAGGCCGGATTGGAAGCCTCTCATGACCATTGTTGTTTGTTTTGATTTATGTTGGATTGAGAGAAATGTTGAAGCTTTTATTTTATTTTATTTTTCTGAACGGTTGCATGTTTGCGTTTCAGAGTTTTACTGTTGGAATTATCCTGCACCCTGAGCCAAGGTTATTTGGTCCTATTGGCTTTTGATTTCGCGTATGCCAGTTCGAGGGAGTTCCAGCAGACAATTTGTTGTTTTTCAAAGCAGTTAGTTGTTTGTCAGAGTTCTGATCATGCCTGGAGGAAGATCTTCTAAGGCAACTTGAGAAAACTATTATAATAAAAGGAATTTGGAAACATGAGCTCTGTTGTTGGACTCAATCCCTGAATATTTTTAATTAAAGTCTCCCCTTTCTGCCTCAGTTTCTCCATCTGGAGCATGGGAATGTGATACAGTATAAGCTGGTGTTGTGATAGGCTATATGTTTGATTTATAAGGTCTTGGCAAAAGGTCCCTTTTAAAAGATGCATATTTGAAGCTACACTTAGGTAAGCAAAAATTATTTAAGATGTTCACTCTGAGAAAGCACCGTAGGAATATATAAACCAATAACCATGCCTGAAATGTTATTCTAGAAAGCCAGCTGCAAACTGTATAGAAAACATAGTCAAGAATGATGCACATGGAGAATTCTCATCAGACAATTGAATTAAATGGCAGATGGACATGTAAAATCTTGGGATGTGGGGAGATTTCAAATGTAGGTGTTCACATTTATTCTAAGGAATAATTCTGGCTAAATTTTCCATTGATTGGGATTAGTGCAAAAACACACGATAGCTACATTTCTCTGCTTTTTCTCATAAAGACGTTTTCTCTGATATGAACAGAAGTAAATTAAGTTTGGGGCTAGAAATGTGGGCCTCGTGTTATATGGAATTCTTTACAGGAGTCATGATACTCGTTTGGCTCTTTCTTTTGCATGTGCTTTGGTTTCATGAGCCTTCCTGCTTCTTGATCTGACCTTTTCAGTACCACATTAAACTGTCAGTTTCTAGTGCTTATTTGGAACATTTTCAGAGTGAGCATATGGATTTTATAGTAAGTTTTTATAACACCATTTTGACTCTTTGGTAACTTTTTCTCATCATGATATTATTTGCATTATATTGAATCATGTATATTTTTCTGGGCCAGCATGAGATTAGGATGTAATATAGAGAACGTGTTTTAAAACCATTTATGTAAAAATGAGAAGCTGGATGAATGCCATTGCAGTCTAGCCATTGACTGGCAGGATGTATAATGCACACTGTGGGCACGGAACATAATTTGAAGTGATTTAGTAGGAAGAATAAAACATCTTTACTGAAATCCAAGGGGCAAAGACATACTTTTCACTACAGCTTTTTAGAACTTGAGCAAAGAACATGAATATTTATGTACATTCTTACGGAATACATAAACTGATATCATTTAGTTTCGGATGCTACAAAAATAATTTAATGGAATACATGAGACAGACAATTCCCTATCGCCCACGGACCTAAAACCATGTGATTTTTATTTCTATTGTAATTCTCATCTTTGAAAACAATTCTGGAATGCTAATTACCAGGAGGTCTGTCAGGAACAAGCAGAACACAGATTTGATTTGGTTTCAATTCATTCATGCTCCACCCAGTACTGGATTCAGACAATGAAAGGTCTGCCTGAGGACTGTACAGTGGCCAGGTCAGGACCACCCAAATATTAGATGTGAGTAGAACTCAAGCAAAGATCAGCAAAGGACCCCCACTAACAGCTAATTCATTTAACCTAGTGATTTAGAATTTGTAAAATGCTTTCACATCCATTTCCCCTTTTGAAAGCCTTACAAGATAAAAAATAATAAACAGATAAAAAATAAATCCAGCTTCGTAGGTGGGGAAATTCAGGTTTGAAGAGACTAAGCAATTTGCCCAAGTTACAAGGTCATAAATGGCAGCAGGGCTCATTTGAAGTTCCTGGGACTCTGAGTCCAGTGCTCAGCCTGCAGAAGACACAAATAAGACAAGGCAGGGAATATATCTGTGAGTTATGGAAGTAACTTATTATTTTTTTTTGGTCTGTGCTTATTAATAGACTGAAGCACTCTGGGCCATCTTAATTACTTAAGTATCCAGATGTTCCGAATTCTCTTTAGTGCTGCCTAACTGATGTGGCCATTTCTGTTTTTTGTATGAAGGATTGGAAAAAGTCTTCCAGTATTCCGGGTCATTAGGAACACCACATGTGCTCGCAGGAGCATATGATAGCTTCCTGTTACAGAGTGCAATTCTGGGCAGGTGAAAATGGCCCCTACTGTATTTGTGTGCAACAAGGATTATGGTTTGTTGCTGCATTAAGGAGACATAAAAGGAAGAGAAAAGCCACTGGCGTGACAAGCACCTTCTCTCTTCCTGCACTGCTTCTCCTCTTACCAACTCACCTCCAAAAATTCTGGGCACGAAACAAAAGGGGGTAGACTGGCCCCTGCTGCTTGTGGAATCAGAATTGCTTCCTACATGGCTCCATCAACTTTGATCAGTGCTGCTTCAACTTTTAAATGCTTAAACCTTGCTTCTAAAATCTTGACTCCTTCCAACCATCACAGATAGGACTTAACCACCTTGAAATGCCATGCCCTATAACCCTGGGAATCGCCTCCTAAAGCTCAGCTATTCCTCTTGGGATTCTTTGCCCATCCTGGCCACTAAGTGTTTCCCTGCAGGGGGCCGTCTCCCAGAAGGTAGGAAGTCCACAGCCTTTGGATCCAATCTGAAGGGGAAATTTCCCGGAAAGACTTTAAGGAAAGAAAATAAGCCAAGAAAGAGAGAAAAAAAATGACTCTAAGTGACAAAAGTAACCAGTTAACAATTCTGTGGTCACATAGATAGATTTGGTCATAGACATTTAAAGAGAAATATTCTTCAGTTTACAAATGTCTGTGTGGGTATGTATACACACACGCACGCACGCACACACACACACACACACACACACACATATATATATATATATATAATTTTTTTTTACAGGAAAGATCTTTGTGAATTTTTGAAATATTTCTCTTTTAATTATTTGGTCATCAATCATTAATCCAGAAAGTTAAAATACACATGAAGGCAAAAGTAATTGATTTATTTTTCCTAGGACATCCAATTTTCATTTCCTATTTATTGGTTTATGTGCAAATCACTTTGCTGGGTACTCTGCTGGGTGGGCTGGATAATGGGGAGGGGCCAGGATACTGCAGATTCCTACCCTAAGGAGCTACATTAAAGGAAAAGAATAGCTCACTTAAAACAGACTGGGACTAAATTACAGTAGCTCCCACCCCCTCTCAGTTACCTGCACTCCGCTTCTGTCTGGAAGGGGTGATCCTTCCACTGACTTATTTTTAGGTCATTAGTAGCATAATGCTACATCACAATGCCTGGGTCACTCACCTTGCTTCATCTCCTGTAGGCATCTTCTCATCTCACGTCCTCACAGGAAGGGTGAGTGAATACACTACAATAAGATATTTTGAGAAAAAGAGACATGCTCACCTAACTATTGTTTTTTCAAACTATATCCATGTTTATTAAAGATACTTTTCATAAACAATCATGGTATTTCAGGCAGGACACAGGCAGACAACTAGTGAAGGTTTAATAACAAAATTCACTCCTCTGTGGAACTTAAAAAAACATAACAGATGAACATAGGGAAAGGGAAGGAAAAATAACATAAGGTGAAAATTGGGAGGCAAGCAAACCATAAGAGATGCTGAACTCTATGAAACAAATGGAGGATTGCGGAAGGGAGGTGGAGGGGGAAGGGGTAACTGGGTGATGGGCATTAAGGAGGGTGCTTGATGTTATGAGCACGGGGTGCTACTTCTGAAACTAATAGGAAGAGTATAGAACAACCTTCAAACTCCCTTCTTCAGTGGACTATCCAAATCAGAAAGACACTATAAAACCCAGTGATGTCTCCGTGTGATGCTCTGAACAGGGAACATTTAGAGTGAGGGTCGACAGTCCACATTTGGTGGGTCGTCCAACATTTCGCAAGCCAACTCTGACTTCCAGGAAGTGAAGTGGAAATGGCAGAGTTATCAGTCGGAAGGCCCCCTAAGCTAAGAAAAGAACCCTTTTGAGGGGTGACATCTCCATGTTGACACTGTGAAGTCCAGATTGCCTGGCACACTGGGAACCTTCTTTGGGGCTGGGCTCCCACAGGTCTCTGGGTGTAAGGGAGTCCAATCTACGCTGAAGGCAGAGAGGGAGAAGAGGACATACAACATGAATTTTCGTTTTCCACACCACAGGCGTTTGTGCCGAGGTGGTGAATGTGAATTGACATCCCTCCTCTGGGAACCAAGAGGAAATTTCTCAAGACCAGAAAGGAAAGGTGTTCCCCAAGGCCTGGATCAAATCAATTTAGCTTCAGAGATATTCTGTTAGTGACATATGCCCTTCTCCCCAAACAACAATGAAGTGTTCTGGTGCTAACTAATACAGCCTAAAATTTTTTTTTAAAAAACTACATTTTTATAAAACTTGATAAAAAATAGAATTTCAAACTATAGTCATTGGAAGTACACAGTTATCCAAATTGCACGTGCTTCACTTGGCATCTCCAGCACCATCAGCCTTCTGCGCATGAGCTGTTTTGGCATCTCTGTTTTGCAGGGTTATTCCCATCCTTGCCAGCATCAACTTTCCCCCTTTTCCCTTTGGGTCCCTTCTCTCCCTGCTTTGAAGAGGCCATTTTAGGCTTGGGCTCTGGCTTTGGAGGAGCAGGTTTAGGAGACAACTTTGCAGATCTTGTCTGTGGCTCATCTCCCACCTTGGCTTTGCCTCCTCTAGCATCCCCTTTTCAGCCTTTCTCTTGGGCATCGTGGTGACAGTGGTGGATGTTGGCACTTGGACAGGGCATGTGGGCTTTGGTTCGTCTGGGGGTCATTCTCGCCTCTTCTTTACACTGCTCCACATACATTTTATTATAGTATACTATAGTCATCCTTTATCATTATTGTTATTAATCTTCTCCTAATTTATAAATTAAACTTTATCATAAGTATGTATAGGAAAAATCATAGTATATGTGGAGTCTGATACTATTTGAGGTTTCAGACCCTCCCAACTGGGGGTCTTGGGAATTAACCCCCACAGATATGGAGGAACTACTGTGTGTGCTAAGACCGTGAAAGTTCACAGACCACAGAGGAGGGAGAGAAGGTTCTGTAAAAGACATCGGCTTTTCTTGAGACCTAATAAAGTTCATGAAATTTCATTCATTTCATTGAGTTTTCAACACTCTCTCATTTTTTCTTACACTTCGGTCAAGAATGATTTTCAAATAAGGGTAATTGTGAAACATAAGATAGAACAATTTTGCTCCTTCAGCTGAATAGTGTCCTGAATGCCAGGCAATTAATTGACAGAGACCTCTGATTGGTCAGGCTGGTGAGCTATCACTTGTGATCCTAGTTGAAGGGAAAAGAGGTTAGGACCCATGTTTCATTGAGGACCCATCAGAACTCAAGCCAGGATTCTCAGAATCCACAGGATACCACGAGTATGATAGCTAAAGACCTCTGGCCAGATCATTTAGAGACCTCTAGAAAAGCAGAGACTTTCTCCATTAGCCTCTTACATTTGGTGGGCTGTTTTTGGTATAAACAGAGGTATCCCAACAGTTGAGAAGACCTTAAAATTTGGCTTCCTCTCCCTTCAGTAGTTTGACTAAATTTTTATGTTTGTGTTTTAAATAACATATCAAAGGTGAGAAATCACTTGAACCACTAAACTAGAATTCAGCATAACTAGAGCTTACTGAAGTGATCCCTATCATCCTTCATCCTGCCTCCAGAATGATTCCTCAGTTATTATAGATTCCGTGCCTGTTAAAAAGGTGCTTGTTAGTTTTTAGGACTTCATGGCTATTTTTTTTAAAGAGAAGTCCATGACTTCCCTTCAGTAAGAAAATGATAGAAAATTGGAATTGCCTTTCATTTCTTAATTCTCAGACTCAACAAGAGAGGCAACTAGAGTTGTCTTTCTCTTTTTCTATGTGCTTCTGGTGTGTGTGTGTGTGTGTGTACATACATACACCCCCCAAAATTTTTTTTATGAGTAAAGAAAAGAATACCGGTCAAATATCGACATAAGAATATTTCAGGGAAAGACTTTTCTTTTTTTTCTTTGGGTGGGGGAATGCACATAAGTAGTCTTTTCTATAAATAAAAAGAATGCTTTAGGTCAATGGCTTTGCTTCTACCTTTGTCTACCTCAGAGGAGAGGAGGACTTCCTGAGTACAAACATATTTTGTGGGGTCTTTGTTGAGGAAAAAAAAACAGTGGAAAGAATGGATACTTGGAAAATACATATTTCAAACAGTTGGACAGGGACAGCTGGTTCATTTTTTTTCTTCCTGCCAAGCCATTTCCACTTACAATTCAAAAAACCACAGTTTGATATTGGATTTAGAACCAAGTTTTCAAAAAAAAAAAAACACATTGCCAGGGAACATGCGTGGAATTCCCACTGATAATAGCATAAAACACAAAAGGATGGAGTCTGACCGCCCACGATGGTCTCTCCTTCTGGCATATCAGGCAACCCGCTAACAGCGTTTCTTTGGACATACCAAACGTATCCCTCGATTGTAAGCTACTTGTGGATAGGCACTGGCTTGATTTATCTTTTACACAGCTCTGTAAATAACAGATACTCAATAATTATCTGTAAAACAGTGTATTTAAGACTACAATTTTAGTGAGACTCCTGTGTTAGCAGGGTCTGCTAAGAAGCAGATCTGCTTTAAAAAAAATAAATACCAAGACAGAATTTAACTTGCAAGAAAAATTTCAGGGAAATGTCTGTGAGGAAAAAAAGGGGCAGGGAGGAAGCTGGGAAAGCCTGGGAGAGACTTCAGACTATAATGTAGGTATGACCCCAAATAAGGGAAGGAAGGAAGCAAGTTTGGGGAAAAATATCTTAGACTGAGGTGCAATTCTAAGAAGAGTTTAGTGAGGCTGCCGAGGAATCTTCAAGTCAAAGTTGTTTACCAGAGCAATCTCCCACCTTCCAGGAAAGGGCCTGACTTTAATGTCCCTGTTGCACTCACTCATTGATTGGTGGAAATTGTGACCTCAGAGCAAAGACAATAATGAGATTTCAGAATGCAGCCCTGGGACTCTTAGTCAATTCTGATCTCTGAAGGAGATCCGAGAGGCATATTTTTATGACCAAAATAGGCCTTGGTAAAAATCTGTGCATCTATCCACTGAGAAGTGAAATTTTTCTTCTTGGACAAGATCCATTGATGGTTGTAAAGATTAACCAAGATAATATGTATAAAAGGTTTAGCACACCACATAGCGATTGCATGATAAGAGGCAGTTCTTTTCTTATCATTAATGGTCTTACCTGTCAAGTTACCACGTACTGAATCGTGTTATGTACGAGACACAATAATGGGTACTTAACACGCAATAAAACATACCAGAGAGAGTACCTGTTTTGGTGATAGGATGAATTTCAAAACCAGAATGGGGCAGTTACCAGTTGTGTGACCACATTGGGCAAGTTATTGAAAGTCTCTGAGCCTCAGTTTCCACATCTCTAAGACAGATATAAGATGTCCAAAGCAGAGGATGGTGGATGGGTTAGAAGAAATAAAGTAGGAGTACCTGGTACGTGTGAGGAATGCCATGCGCTGTTGTTATTATCATTTCCAAGCATCACAGAACCCTGCAAAATTATCAGCCCCGGGAGGCTGAGCTGTATGGATTGTACATCATGAGGGTTCTCCAGGCTTGCGAGGCTTGCTTTCAGGTTTGGCCAAAGGGAAGCCCTTGTAGGAAGCTGTGGGGGGGATGACAACTCAAGGATATACTTCCTTGTCCCCTCCCCTGTGAGGCCTGGCTACGTCCCTCTACCAAAACTCACAATTCTTCACAAGATAATGGGCTTCACCCAACTCTCTCCTGCTGAATTCTTTTTTTTTTAATTTTATTTATTTATGATAGTCACACAGAGAGAGATAGAGAGGCAGAGACACAGGCAGAGGGAGAAGCAGGCTCCATGCACCGGGAGCCCGACGTGGGATTCGATCTCGGGTCTCCAGGATCGCTCCCTGGGCCAAAGGCAGGCGCCAAACCGCTGCGCCACCCAGGGATCCCCCTCTCCTGCTGAATTCTAATAACTGCTTCCTCTCCTTTCTCTCAGGCCCACTGGCGGTGAGACCTCAGCTGTCACTGTCTCCAGGTTATTGCACTCACCTTTGTAGCTCTCCTAAATCCACACGTTATTGAATAATCTTGCTGAAATACTTGCCTCTGAGTTATTCCACTTTGCATAGGTCTTCACTTTCTTGCTAGGACCACCAATGGACTTTAGTTCTTTTTCCTCAACCTTACATCCTCTCTCCATGAAATATGTAAGCATCCTTTTAGTTAAAAATAATAATCTCTTAAATAAGGAAGAGAAAGATGAAGAGAGTGGTGAAGGGGTCCCGTGTTTGGAATCTGGCACCAAGATAACTGGTCTGACTTATGAAAAAACGTACAAGCTCTTTCAAAGAAAATAGTCTTTGTAAACAACCATGCTAAGACTCAGGGAGAGTAGCGTAGACAGGAAACTCTACCCTTGACTGCTGGACCCGTGAATGATTTAGGGTGCATCCCTTAAATTCTCTGACCCTTAAATCAGAATGTAGGTAAATGTGTGGCTGAGCCCATGTTGGCTGTGACAATACTGGCCCACAAAATGCTATCTATCTATGGAGGGAGATTCAATTTTTGGGCTCTTAGAAAGGTGCTTTAAAATTCTTGGTTGAAGGACAAATGTATCAAGGCAGATGGTTGTATCTTCTGTGTGTGCTTGGGATACACTTGGAAGGGTCTTCTGGCTGACATTGAGGACACTGCCAGACAAGATCAGAGTGATTCCTGGTGAGTCCTTTGATGGATTTTGGGCTTGCAGAGGAAATGTTGTGCCCAGGAAAGGTTTGCCTATTTTTCTAGCTGGAAGGAAGCCTAGCAGCCTTAGAATAAAATAGAAATCAGTGATCCTAGGTAGGAAAACATTAAAGACAAGAGTGGAAAATCAGACACCATCAGCATGAATGTGAAAGCTCCAGCCAGCAGACAATTTCAGACAGATTTGCAGAAAATTTTTCAAGAACTTCTCAGATGGATTCTGTGTCATCTTGGACCTCAAGGACCAGACAAGGGGTCCATATGGTACCTATGGGCTTGAAACAAACGACCTGTTCTCACTCTCTGCTATTTTGGCATCGAGAACAAGCAAGGAGAGCTCTCTCCCTGGGTGAGAGATGTTTTCTTAATGGTTAAGGGGAAAGTTTTGGCTCCTGATTTGGAAGCGGCCACACACCACCCTCATTAATTATGTTTTAAAGGATGTGAGTGAAACTTTATAATTGAAGAGAAATTAGATTGGCTTTCGTTTTGTTGGGGGAAAGTAACTCAGAGTGCTCAGCAGCTGAAACAATAGACGCCAGGAATTAGAGGAGAGCAACCATAAAATCTGACTGAGCTGTGAATGGGACAAAGTTTTCCTTGCTCCTTCGTATACCCCTGGTGCTTCATCCCCTGCTGTCTTCCACACATCATTTAGGCATCCTCTGTGGCTTGACTTTATGCTGCTATTAATCTCCTTTTTGAAAGAAGTCTCAGACTACAGAGCTCCACACACTTTGTCATCATCACCGTCTAGTCGCTCTCTTTCATCTTAGGTGCCAAGAACACCAAGTATAAGGTCCTTTCTGGAAAAATACAAGACCATGTAGGTATGTGTGGGTAACCCCCTTTGCCATGGAAGTTGTACTCAGAAAAAATATAGGATTTGGAGCAGATGTTCTTGTTAAATG